TTAGAATTTCATCTAAGATGGATAATATCTCTCCATTCTGGCTTGCTTTGTACAAACTTAAGAATCTCACAGCTCATAGATGTTTAGCTAATATACCCCTAGTAGTTGTCTTCTTACTGCTTTATTTTATTTCTTGCCTAGACTTGCAGGCTATATAGTAGGTTCAACTAAGTATTCAGTCAAATACTCAAAGGGAGATCCAAATTTCTGTATGGAGATTTCCACATTTCCATATAACTCTTTCCTCTCAAGCTCGTACCAGCAGTTTGGAAGTATAAGTTCTATTCCTTCAGTTCCATATTGGAATACTTCCTGCCCTATGGGCCAAAATGTATTCCCTGGTTGTAAGCCTGTTGATTTGAGGATTCACTAATTTGTTTCCCATTTCTTAGTGATCACTGTTATGCTTTACCTGTTGCTCAATATCTGAAAACAGTTGTTTACGATACATGTGATGCTTCAGTTTTTTAATGGCAGGAGACCTAGTTGAGATGAGTGTCCTCGGGTTTTTTGTTTGTTTGTTTTGTTTTTGTAATTAGATACTCCATCTGCTTAATGGTGTTGTCTTTGGATTAGTAGAGAACCCGGGAATGTTTCCTAAGTTCATTGTCAATCATTTAGCCATTCCTCTGCAAACATATCAATGTGTCATTGTGGTCTGGCACACGTGTTTTAGATTAAAATGTGCTAGATCATAGTAAGTGATTGTTACTGGTTGAATAAATAAGTTAATTACATGATCTGTGTTGCTAAATATACTCTCTATTACAACTGTATCTTCTATTATCTTTTTTTATTGCAAGTAAATTTTTTTAAAATGTACTTTAAGTTCTAGGGTACATGTGCACAATGTGCAGGTTTGTTACATATGTATACATGTGCCATGTTGGTGTACTGAACCCATTAACTCGTCATTTACATTAGGTATATCTCCTAATGCTATCCTTCCCACCCCCACCGCCCCCGCCCACGACAGGCCCTAGTGTGTGATATTCCCCTTCCTGTGTCCAAGTGTTCTCATTGTTCAATTCCCACCTATGAGTGAGAACATGTGATGTTTGGTTTTTTGTCCTTGTGATAGTTTGCTGAGAATGATGGTTCCCAGCTTCATCCATGTCCCTACAAAGGACATGAACTCATCCTTTTTTATGGCTGCATAGTATTCCATGGTGTATATGTGCCACATTTTCTTAATCCAGTCTATCATTGATGGACATTTGGGTTGTTCCAAGTCTTTGCTATTGTGAATAGTGCCACAATAAACATACATGTGCATGTGTCTTTATAGCAGCATGATTTATAATCCTTTGGGTATATCCCCAGTAATGGGATGGCTGGGTCAAATGATATTTCTAGTTCTAGATCCTTGAGGAATCACAACACTGTCTTCCACAATGGTTGAACTAGTTTACAGTCCCACCAACAGTGTAAAAGTGTTCCTATTTCTCCACATTCTCTCTAGCACCTGTTGCTTCCTGACTTTTTAATGATCGCCATTCTAACTGGTGTGAGATGGTATCTCATTGTGCATGTAGATTTTTATATAGAAAAAAAAAATCCTACACACAGTTTGAGATCAGTGTGTATATTGATCTGATGGCTATGAAGATGACTAAAGATGCAGTCACTGTACTTAAAGGATTTAGATTAAAATTAAAAACGTAAGACCCAAATGTATGGAAATTTGAAGTACTAAGACATCACTTTCACTTTGAATTTGAATTTGTTAAGTCACCTAAGTACATGCCATTGTATATGGTATTATACTATTATTATTATTTTTAATGTGGTTGACTGATGAATTTGGAAGAAGCCAGAGATGGCTGCCAAATCTTTCTGAAGGAAGAAGCACCTTGCACTTTGTATACTAGCAAAATGTCATTAGTTATAGATTTTTGAGCTTTTCGTTGTGTTTCACCTATGGCTTTCAATATTCTGTTTTCACTGACTAGAATATGACCTTCTGTAGTCCTTTTTTTCACAAACTCCTACTCACTCTTATAAACAATGTTTCTTTTATTATCTTCTCCAAGAAAATAATTTTGATGTTATAAAAACAAATGGATTCTTCTGTGTAGAGCTGAACTGTGCACAAGGTTGAATAGAGCACTTATCAACATATATTTGAAATATTTTTGTAAATTAATATTTTTACTGAAGTATTGAGTTCAAGGATTGTTTATTTTTTGCTAACACCACAACTTTTGCTAATACCTAGTGTGAGTCATGGCATGGAAAATGTAAATGAAAAAGAATAGAATAGATTTGAAATGGATAAACTAGAAGAGAATAGGATAGAATAGAACCAGGGAGTCTAGGATAGAATAGAATATAATGTAATACAATAAAATAACTTAAAACATTGGTTAGACACTCTGGAGACATTTTAACTTTTGAAAATTCCCAAAATATCAAGTATTCAAATTATAATTGCTACCTGGTCATCACTTGTGTGACTGATGCAGTAGCAACGATTCTACTCTTTGAAAGTGATTGAATGAGGCCTATTAAAACCAACAAAAGTGCTAGTAAAATAAAAAAATAAACTTTTAAAAGCCTCCTCTAGCCTGTGCATGTCATAGCTCAGTGTGTAAAGCTCAACCCAGTATTTCCAGGTGACTAAAGGCAGGTTCATCTCTTTCAAGCACTTCCTAAAAATTTTCGAGTGAGAGTTTTCTTGCCATAGAATGGATCCTTAGAAACCCAGTGACAGGTTAGCATCATAGGGAGGAAGGTAGAAATTTCAGAATTACTTCAAATACCACCAAATAGTGAGATGTAACGGAGTCTGTGAGGACTCTAATATTTTAGTTTTATTGGCTGGTATATCTGTACTCCATTCATTTCCTTATTTACTTATTCATTAGTTTGCTTCTTTATTTAAAATAAATATAAACAAATATTTACTGGTTGCCTACTATTGGCCATATAAACCTCATTTCTTACCCTCTGTTTAGGCATAGGCAATAAGAATTAAGATGCAAAGAAGACACAAGAGAGCAATAATCATGGAGCTAAAAATAAGGACATGGACAATGCTGAGAACAGGCTTTTTCGTAGAGTACAATAGGTGCTATGATGGATAAATGCAGAGTGTACTTTGAAATCATATAGCAGGGCCCCCTAAGTTAATATGGACAGTTAGGGCAGACTTACCTCCTAGAGAAAGTGACATCTACATTGACAGCTGAATGTCAAGTGGGAAATAATCAGGGGAGGAGAAATAAAAGAGAGCATAGCTTCTTAGAAGGAGTAAAAAACGAAGCACAGTGTGCCTAGAGGGTAGACTGGGGGTACATTGGTGAAGAATGAGGCCAGATTGGTGAACAGGAACAGACACAAAAAGCTTTGTAAGTTGGATTAAAGTGTTTAGAAAGTATCCTTTTTCATTTTTGTTGTAAGAAGAGTGATTATGCGTTACTGGAAGAATTGTAATTGATCTATACTCTATGCCTGTACATATATATGTAAATTATCTATTTGTATGTTATATGTATTATGACATCATAATATACGCAATATGTATATGTATACATGAAATGAATGTGAACGCATGCAGACACATTACGCCAGGTGTACCACAGTTATGGTTTGACTCTTAATTCCTATCCATGGAGCGTACTCATCAGCACATCCTTGTCGATGTAAATTATTCTGCAGTGGGTTACCTGACTCTTTCCTAAGCTCTTCAGACCACTCTACCTCTGCTTGTTGATTAAAAATATCAATCTAAGATGAAAATCTGGTCATGCTGTCTCATTTGCTTAAAACACCCCATTGCCCTTAATAAATTGCATTAAAATAAAATTTAAGCTCTTTAGAAGTGTTGACCAAGACCCTTCATAATCTGAGATTCCCAAATTTGCCGACCAATCCTCAGCCGTCATTGTTCTCCCACACAAATCCGATATTCCAAAAAAATAAATTTCCTCCAGTTGTTTGATGTGACACAAGCGTTTCTAACTTTGTATATGTTCTTCCTCAGTCTCTAACATTCTTTTTCCTTCTTTACCTGTCTAATTTCTATTTTTCCTTGAAAACCCAGTGCAGGCATCACTTGTGCCTTCCTCCTAGGATGCTATGGGCGTTTCCCCTTCTCTGATTACCCAAACCACCAGTTGTACACACAGTCCCAGCTCCATTACTTGAAGACCATAACTTTGGTTGATACTTAACCTCCAGTATCCTATTTCCTTTTACCTCTTCAAGATAATTACACATCTACCTCTTGGGATCTTTATAAGAATAATAGATTCCACTCAATATATGTTGGCTGGTGTTATTATTTTAAATTATTGTAGTCATTGTTACATGCATCATTATTCTATTAACTGATCGGTTTTTCTCATCAGCCTGAAGGGCAGGTTCATGTGTTTGTTTTTTCTTTAGTGTCATTACTCAGGAACCAGATATGGGATTGGAGTGCAGTGAATCTCTACTGTGTAATGGAAGAAAAAAGGTCTCTATAGGAGCCAAATGTCCAGCTTCACAATTGGCCTATTGTGGGATTTTAGGCAGATCATTTCCCTCCCTGGGCCTCTGTAATTTTATCTGACATAGAAAGAACGAATTAGAAGGTGAATAAGGTGTCTTCTAATTACATAATGTTATTGAACTTATCAAACTATAGGATGAAATGCTTTGACGATTTTTATATTTTTCCTCAGAGTCCACTCTAACTCCAGGGTCTGGTGCAACCCAAGTCCAGGCTCTCAGAAGTTCACTGCCAAATCTGAAAACTGGTTTGTACTGGGTGGAATGAATATTACTTACACTGATACCTCTAATAATTTTGGTCCTGACTGCTTACAAGTGCTGCAATTGGACACTTATTGTTCCTGCTGTTTCAGCAAAGACGTGAGAGGCACATTTATGATTTAGTGTGTCAAAGTCACAGATAGAGAAGCTGTCATCTGTAATTTTCACATGTCAAGTGACTACAAGTTGAGCTGACAGAATGAATTAGGCCTTCTTCCTCTTATTTTGTGTACCATCTCCAGCAACCTGACTTTTTAAAAAGAAAAAAGGAACTTACTTGAACTAAAGTGGTTAAGACCTCGACATTTGCTCACAGAAAGGGTCGTTGAGTCGTTTCTAGTTGTTGATGGGCAAAAGATGCAGCTGTCCCTTATGGAAAATTCCAAGAACTTGTACATAATTTGAGTCATGCAAACCTGAGTTCTGCATGACTGAGTTCTGTCACTCAGTGGTTGGGAAATTTATGATCATCTCTATGCCTTGGTTTCTGCATCTGTAAAGTGGAAATGATAATGTCTACCTTGTGTGATTCCTGGAAGAATTAAATACATGATATTCAAAATCTTTCGGTCAATTGTAAATTGCCAGGAAGCATAAGTTATTGTTAACTGAGAGAATCAAACTTTGATTAACATATTTAGCATCTTTAAAAAACACATAATTCCGGTTTTTACTCATGGGAGAGGATTATATTGAAAATAATGTGAATTTTGTTTAAACATTTTGTATCTTATATGGTTTGGGGTACATTTTTTGTGAAGGAATATTTTCAGTGTCCTGGACTGAAGAGAAGCAGAGGAAATTGAATTGCTTCTAATTTTGCCCCACTAGATTTTCTAGAACACGGGAAGGAGATTTGTGCTGATTAAACACACAAACATACATATATGCATACACACATGCGCGCGCGCACACACACACACACACACAATTCTATTTTTCAACTTTATATAATTGTCCTTTTTCTCCCAAACACAAAGTGAAGAAATTCAAGGAAAGCTAATACACTTTGGTTGTAAAATAGGCACATCAACCCATATGGCTGTTGTGAGGCATAACTGAACTAGAATTACCTGTCAAGGGCTTTGCAGATGGTTACACATTATACACAAAGGTGAAGGTTTTGGAGGCAGCCATAAAGTGTAAAAATTTACCAAGAGCTTTGAGGTCAAAAGCCCTGAGATCAAATTCAGCCTCTGCCCCTTTGCCTGGTCTTTCCTGCATGGTATAGGGCCTATCTGTTGCAATCTGAAAGTTTCAGTCTCCTTAGATATAAATGGTGGTATTCTCACCTGCCTCACAGGGCTATGATGAGGAGGAAGTAAAATGATGGACATGACTTTGCTCTGTAACCAGTAACATGGTCTACAAATGTGTGGCCAAGACGTGGGTTCTACACTAATTACAGAGAAAGCAAAGGGGTCTCAAAATAGCTGGGGAATTATTCCTCCCTCCACCTATGCATTGAACAGTCAAGAACAGTGCTCAGTCAGCAAAGATGCAAAGGTTGAGGCCATGAAGCTGCATTCACACCCAGAGCCTGATGATGATCTCACAAGTGCCAAGTGCCATCAGCCAAAAAAAAAAAAAAAAAAAAAAAAAAGAAACACACATTTACTGCAAAAATGAGTTTCTTTGCAAAAAAATCTAGCACTTTGGTCCATTCTGCGTTGGGTGCAAACACCATTCTCTCTCTGAGTCTCAGCTGTGTCAATATTCAAAAAAGAAAGGGATTAATGAAACAAAATGTCTACTCTGAGCACTTGGCTATCCCTGACTTAAAAGAAGAAAGGAGGGAAACAAAAGAAAGAATATAACCAGCCTCGCTCCCCACTGAGAATTTATTTCCCTTTAATATTCATGTGGGTAACATTCATTGGCAATAAATGCAGACATGCATTTTAATGGCATACTGTATTAGGAATAAAATAAGAACACCCAGAAACTTGACAACACAAATGAGTACTAAGAACCTTTGTCTGCTCTCTGTGCTAATTTCTGTCCCATCCGTGGAAAACCACCTTAAAACTTTTGCCTTTTGTTTCTGTTTCTGTGTTTACCTGCCACTTGATAGCTTTGTTTTGTAGAAGAGCTCTTCAAAAACACAGGCCATGTCTTCTACATCTCCTTATTGTTTTTGCTTAGCACAGAGATGGACACAAATAAACTGCATGGGGGAATTACATGGGGATTTTGCAGTTCTGGCCACCACTGTTCAAAAAGGACATTGGACAACTGGAGCAGATGGAAAGGGCCTAGAAACAATGTTATATGAGAAACTAGTGAAAGAACAAAAACAGCTCTAAGCTAGAATACTGGAACACTCAGAGCTGAAGTGAGGGTGGCAGGACAGCATGAGAACTGTCAGTTAAATCTCCTTGTGCCTTGGGAGACTAAATCCAGAGCTCAGTTACACGAAGGAAGGATTTTGCTAAGACTAACCAAAAGAGGACACACAAATAGCCAACAAGTACATAAAAAATGTTCAACATCACTGATCATCAGAGAAATGCAATCAAAACCACAATGAGTTATCATCTCACCCCAGTTAGAATGGCTATTATAAAAAAGACAAAATAAAATGCTAGTGTGGATGCAGAGAAAGGGGGACTCTTATACATTATGGATGGAAATGTAAATGAGTACAGCCATTATAAAAAAGCATATGGAGGTTCCTCAAAAAATTAAAAATACAATGACTATATGACCCAGCAATCTTACTACTGGGTATTTATACAAAGTAAAGAAAACCAGTATATCGAATTGGTACCTGTACTCCCATTTTCAGTGCAGCACCATTCACAGTAGCAAAGATACGGAAACAACCTAAGTGTACATCAACAGACGAATGAATAAAGAAAATCTGTTATATACACAGAATGAAATATGACTCAGCCATAAAAAGAATGAAATCATGTCATTTGCAGCAACATAGATGAAACTGGAGGACATTATGTTACGTGAAATAAGCCAAGCAGAGAAAGACAAATATGGCATGTTCTTACTCACATGTGGGAAGCAAAGAAATTGATCTCATGGAGGTAGATAGTAGAATGATAGCTACCAGAGACTGGGAAGAGTAGAGTAAGATGAAGAAATGTTGGTCAATGGGTACAGACATACAGGTAGACAGAAGAAATACGTTCCAGGACTTGATAGCACAGTTGGGTGACTACAGTTAACAACAATATATTATATATTTCAAATAGGTAGAAAAGAAGATTTAAAATGTTCTCAGAACAAATGAATAATAAATGGTAGAGGTGATGGATATCCTAAACACACTGCTTCAGTGATTACACATTGTGTGAATGTATCACAAGCACTCCGTAAATATGTATGATTAGTATGTATCACTTTAAAAAATACCCATACCGGTAATGATTTAATGTTATTCCCCTCCCCAGCATTGGTGGTTTTACTTGCTGTGGAGATTTTTACCCGTGGGAATTTTCAAATTTGGAACCAGAAAATCTATCTACTCTTGAATATTACTCTAAGAAATTCAGTGTCCCAAGTGAGGTCACTTGGCTTATTTGAGCATTAAAATATAAAACAAAACTAAGCTTCATCTGGGCACTTGATTTTTTTTTTAACTTTTCCTACTGAGAATCATTGACTCTTCCTCTGATGGGAGAGCATTTTTCTAAAACAGCATGATGGCATTTCGTTTTCCCTGAAGTCCCAACCTCAGAGCTTCCCAAATAATAAACATTCCACATTCAGTCATTAGGGACTCCTCATTGCACAGCCAATGTTTTGCTATAAAGGAATCTGAACAGAAGCAGAAGCAGTAGGAGAGGCGATTCAATTGCTTACAAACTTCATGACAGGATTAGATGATCTACAAAATTAGGATATTTGGCTTTGAGAAACACAGGGAAACTGAGGTCCCAAGAAAAGTAACTTTTTTTAAGGCACCTCAGAGAGTGACAAACCTGGAATGAGAAGGAACCCTTGGGTATTAGTATTGCAGCAGAGCAACGTCAGGAAGCTCATCCAGAGGTCTGGATGCTGCCAATGAACTTCAGAGACCACTTGACTTCTCCTAGAGTCAGAAACTAAGCTGGACCCTGATTTCTGTGGAGGAGCCAGAGAGTGAGAGTTAAGGTAAGGGTTAAGGCAGCCCAAACATCCCTGCTCCATCTCCATCATCTTGAAAAGTCAATGTGTGAGTTCACAGTGGACATATAACAGCAGGGCAGGGTCCTCAGTGTCCCTGTAATCCCCTGCTGTCCCTGTAATCCCTCAGTGTCCCTCAGTGTACCAAAAACAGGGCCAGGTTCCTAGTAGAGGCACAACCCAGCCCCTACATTTGTTGGCTTCTTAATAACCATTTGTTAATTGAGCGAGTGAGAGATAAAGGCGAAAGTAATGTGTGCCCCCAATAACTTCTAATTTAGAGCTGAAAAATCTAAATCTATACAAGTTAGAAAACATAAACCAATACTCCAAAAAGAAAACAAACAGACAAAAAACCTCCAGGATCTTCTACGTGGCAAGCAAAATAGGCACAACCCCTGCCCTCATGGTGGATACATTTGAATTTCTTATACCAATAATCATTTAAAATACACATTGACATATTTCATACTTTGTTACATTGAGGGGCAACTTCCATTACCTGGGTACTTAATAATGGGTAATGCATTTCCCTTTCTGATTAGTACTTGGGTGATTTATGTTCTATACTACAACTCGCTTAGGCAGATTATGCCTTGATTCTGGCCTCAATATCATCATCTGTAAAATGAACAGATTGTGATAAATATCCTCTTAACTCCCAGGTGTGGAATGAATACCAGAGCCTCACCTGGGAACAGGGAAGCAAGTTTGTGGTATTTCACTTTAATCTGCAATGCCACCTTGTGGTTATCAACACGGACCGCACCAAGGACAGGGAAGAGGCTGTGCAACACAGCAACCCACATCAGAAGATGCTGGTTTATTCTTCCCTCCCCTAAGGCTGGATGCACTGAATGGGAAACAGGAGTTTCCTTTCAAGTCCACGTCCCATAACCCTTGGAAGCCTCATCCCGCATAGAATCACCAAGAGTGAACTCTAGTAACACAGTTTGGGGCTTCCTGGAGGCTTGCAAAATGTGTCTGCCCCCATCGCTCCACACTGACATCTCTCTCCTTAGGTCTGCTAGATGATGACAGATGGCACCAGGCTGGGGCAAGACACAGGAGACAGAGATGGAATGAACACAAGCCAACTTCCAGACCAAACTCCTCTTACTCAGGTCATGGGAAAAGTAAGACATTTCCAGGGTCCAGGAGGCCTGAAGATTTTCAAGCTTCTGATTCCCTTTACTTTCTTCATATAACTACATCTTTTCTCATGAATACATTACAAAAAGGGGTTGTCACATCTTGGAGTGGCAGTGCACCAGGTCCCTGACCTCAGGTACATACCAGTCAGTTCTAAAGCTGTGATGCCCTAGTTCCAAACACCACACTGCCAATTAGAACATACTGCAGGTGGAGCTCTCAATATGGTGAACTCAAGTGTGTTTGCACTCTGGTGGCAGAGACACTAGGCTTGCTGGGGGAGAGAGA